AATCAACAAGACATGCTCGGTTTTCTGGTCGGTCCGGAGAATAGATACAAGCTGAATGACGAGGAGATGATCGATCTAATAATCACGATTCTGTATTCGGGATACGAAACCGTGTCGACTACTTCTATGATGGCCGTCAAGTATCTACACGACCATCCAGAAGTGCTCGAGGAGCTAAGGGTAATGAATAATGAGTGGAGTTATTTTTTTTTTTTAATAAGTTGGGAAATGTTGTGATTATTAATCTTCTGCATTGCTAATTTTTCTTTCTTTTTTTTTAGAAAGAACATATGGCTATAAGAGAAAGAAAAGGGCCCGAGGATCCTATTGATTACAATGACTACAAATCGATGCTGTTTACACGTGCCGTAAGTAGTTAACTTCTTGCTAACTTTTTAGTTTCTAAGATATTTACTATGGTTACAAGAATAAATAAAGCTAAAGGACATCGTCTCGTGTTCTTCCGGCAGGTCATATACGAGACGTCGAGACTAGCCACGATCGTTAATGGGGTTCTCAGGAAAACAACTAGAGATATGGAAATGAATGGTGTGTGCACCATCTCTTATTTGATTACTAAATAGTAAATTCCCCTTAATTTTACTTTCGGCAGATTCTACAGTCTCGTTACAGAACTATCCCGTCAAGGTTTGTATCCGTTAGATCAACTATCCACGGACGGTTATATGATGATCTAACGGTTACAAAATCCCGATGGAATGGTTTCGTAACGGGACTGTAACATTTCCCCTTACTTAGAATTATTTGAAGCTTTTAAGATTTTCCACTTCTTGAATAATGGAATTGCATAAAAGAAAAAAAGCAGCAGTTGTGAAAAAACAAGCAATCATAGACTAAGAAAGATATCATCTGTTTGTAATGGACCCTACCCTATCATAATCCACATGGAAAACCAACCGTTCCAACCCAAGACATTCCATTCATGTCCCATATTTTTTGTCTGAATGAATTATGTTGTCTGAGCCTTCGGATAAGAGAAAAGACCTATCGAGCTGCTCGTCATTTCAATCCGAAACTTAGGATTATTCCTTTGTCAAGTCTTGAGTTCTTTCGATAAAATAACATTAAATGCGCTCTAGCAGCCTTACTTATCATTAAAATCCAACAGTACGATAACTCTAATTTCACTTTTCAGGATATCTCGTTCCGAAAGGATGGAGGATATATGTGTACACAAGGGAGGTTAATTACGATCCGTGCCTTTATCCAAATCCATTAACATTCAACCCGTGGAGATGGCTGGTACGTGATCGACTAACTAATAAAACTATCCATATAGATCCTGTAACGAATGATAAAATCGGCTAACGAAGTTCATCGCTTCGAATTTGCAGGAAAAAGGCCCGGAAAACCAGCAGCATTTCTTGATTTTCGGGGGCGGCACTAGACAATGTCCCGGGAAGGAACTCGGTCTAGCCGAGATATCTACATTCCTTCACTACCTAGTGACTAAGTACAAATGGGAAGAAGTCGGGGGAGATGAGCTAATGAAATTTCCTAGAGTCGAAGCGCCTAACGGGCTTCGGATTAAGGTTTCAAGCCGCTAGCGCTAACCGCTGCCGGAAAAGCAATGTACAGATTAACAAATAAAAAAAAAACATATTAAAAAGCACCAAAAAAAAGGAACAAAGTAGGACAGGGTAGCTTTTTTTGGATGTACAGAAGAAGTTTCAGCTAACACATGCTATTCGATAATTGAAAAAACCCATTTTGCCAGGGTGCAATAATTTTGCTTTTCCATACACAAAGCGGTACCCATCATTCAGCTAAAGCGAGCAAAAGGAAGAACAAATTGCAAACAATTATTTTAATTATTCCGCCATGATTGAAACTTACCGATCGAAAGATGATGAACATGTGCTCGAATAGATAATTGAATAGCAAATTATATCGCATGATTGAAACTTACCGATCGAAGACGATGAACATGTGCTCGAATAGATAATTGAATAGCAAATACATTCCCACAAAATTAAGCAATGAGCAAAAAAAAAGGGGGGAAAAGAACCAATACGTATTAACGTTTACCGATAGCCACCGCCGGAGCGCCTTTTGAGCTGAGGAACGCCGCTTGCTTGGCCGGTGGAAGGCTGTTTCAGCTCGGACAATCGCCGTTGGGTTCTTCGGCATCTTCGATCGTTCTCGTACTAATCGGCGCCATTGAAAAAATCTCTGCAATTTTTTCGCGGCTCAAATTTGAAGCAGGATTTAAAAGGTTGCATTGAGAGGAACCAGTACCAAATAAGATAACTTTAAGCGGGCTTGAACCCAACCCGATCCGTATCGAGATGGGCCAGTCCTCCGGTAGTAATTAACAGCTCAGTTGTTAGAAAATGGGCTGGATCATAGATATGGGTTAAAAAGAAAATGAAATTGGGCCTGAACTGAGCTCACTTTTAAAAGATATTTCAAAGAATCACAAAAGAAAGAAATAATGACACTAGTCACACTATTGGAAATGCTCTCCTACCCACGGTGGCACATGTTAATATGTCCACCGCTTATGATGGTGATGTATTTTTTTAATATATTAACATCACCAATATTTGCATGCTACATGAGTGGTGGACATATTAATATGTGTCCACCGTAGGTAAGGGAGCATTTACGATAACACTACTGTGTCTCGTTTAAATAAATAAAAAAAAATTATTACTATCTTTATTCCACAATGACTATTTCGAATGACTAATGACATTTTTAATGACAAATTTAGAAAACAGCCACTTTTTTATGGTGGTTTTTTTCCAAATAAAATTTAATGATAAATTTTAAAAACATCATTTTTTATGGCGGTTGTTTTGTGTTACTTGTTCGGGTGTGATTTTACACCATATTTATATAGTATCTAGAGTTTATTCATTGCATTGTTGGTGTTTAAATTACATTATTGTGTTTTAATTCTATAGTTGTCAGAAAGGTATTACACGTGCTTGTTTTGTAGATATTTTCACATACTTTTAGAGTTTTTGGCTATTGTAGGCGCATGGGAGGTACCTAAGAACCCTGGGATGATGAAACATTGATGCACAAATGAAAAAAATGAAAGAAACGAGTGAAACGAGCAAAAATGAGAGTGTGGATTTGCTACAGGGGCAGTGACATGAGCACCATGTCCGTGTCAGAGGCCGTGTCACCTCGTCAGAGAGAATTCGAAGCCCAAAAACTTGACACGGGCTGCGACACGGACGGTGACAAGGAGTGGCGTGTCGCGCGCGCAGACTGTTATTTATATCTTACATATTTTGAAAAGGAGAAGGATTTTGGACATTATAAAATGCATATTTACCCTATTTTGAGAGAGGAGAACATGGATACACAAGGAGATGAGCCCTAGAACACACAAGAGAAGCAATTGGGAAGCAAAAAGAAGATCAACTACGAAGGGATCAAGAAGATTGAAGGATCGACGAGATTCCAAGTTTTTATTTCTTCTTTCATTTTGAACTTTTATTTATCATGTCGATTTCTAATATGTCTATGTATTTGAATTTGAACATGACTGGCTAGTTTATTTGATTCAGGATTTGGTGGTAGATTAATATGTTGGGATTTTGGATGATTTATTTATATTTTTTTTTTCTTTTGAACCCTATTCAAATATTTTGTTCTTATTCCATATTTGAGCACTTGATCAATGCTTTTACATGTTTGACAATATTATTCATAATTTGAGAGATGAGTTCAGCATTAGTTCTTTAATATTTGACACAATTTACTTGCTTGAATTGAGAGATTAGTAGGTCGTTGTGAGGATATTAGATCTTTTAATATATTTGGAGTTGAATTGCATGGGTTGAGTGGAGACGCTAATATATGTTATTTAATCTACGGTTTTATCGATCTCGAGAGGTCCTACGTGTTCTTTAGTTTATTCATCGTTCTTGATTTATTTTCTTTTGACTTATTTTCTTAGTTTAGCTAATCAATCTCATATTCGACCGTCTAAATAAAGTTGACACTATCATAATCTTGTACTTGATATATTAATTATTTGGTCTTTTGGGATACGACTTTGTTTGCCACATACTACGAGTGAAGCCGTACACTTGCGGTTGGGCTTTAAAAATATAGACAAAAATTGTTTTTTTCTTAAAAAAAAAAATCTACCTAAAAATAAACTAAACCTGCAGCCATTTTGTAGGAAAAATAAGTAATAAAATTAGCTATAAATGGATAAATCGCACATATATTTACAAAATGGGAATTACACATACAAGAAAAATAAGTATTTTGCAAATAATCTTGCAAATAAAGCTTGGCTCACTTCGCCTACGCAACGAACAGAAGTAGTTTACTTGCTTGCTTCAAAAGCCCGGAGACTATTTTTCTGTAAAAAAAAATCATTAATATATCTTCTTAAACTATTCTAATATATAAATATAAGAATAATATATAATTTTCAATAACAATTGAAAGTCAAAAAATGTTTTAAGACTATCATGTTATTTGAATTTATTACCAATTTTGTATAGAATATTCTAATTCTATCATGTAGAAATGTTTTCAGGTTATTGAGATAATGTTCTCTTTATTAAATTACTTGAGAGTGCTTGTATAAATAGTTTTAAAATATTTTATAACTATTTTTATGTTTATTAGATTAGATTTGTATATAGTACTATACATCTGGTATATATATTATATCTCGTTTTTTGGTTAAAAAAATTCATTAATTGATTATTATAGTACTAAAATAAAATATAAAATATATAATGTTTTGAGACAATAGATTTAGTAAAGTTCTATAAATTGTTTGTTGTTGGACATTGATTAACACTAGAACATTTTATGTTTCGAAATTGTGAACAGTTTATGTTTCGAAATTGTTTGTTGTTGGACATTGATTAACACACTTTACAAGAACAAGTTTAAATTCCAGAAATTTAGAACAAGTTTAAGTTCCAGGAATTGTTTAACACAATTCTTAAGTTCCAAAATTGTTTAACACATCATTTAATGAATCCAATGGAGTTCCAGAAATTGTTTAACACATCATTTAATGAAAATGTGATCGAATGGAATGATGTGATGCATAGTTCGGTTGATTGAATATATAGTGATGATGAACATACCTGTGTAGTGATGATGATGATGAATACACTTTTTATTTTTAAATAGCAAACGTTTGCATATTAAATAGTTCTAATTATTAAATAGTTTTAATTTACAACAACGTGACTAATTTAAAAGCTGTAGTTAGCATAATATCAATTGTTTTTTCAAGTACAATTTGTTTTTGCTACAAACCAATTAGTAATGGATAGTGGTACTGCAAACTTATAATCCATAGTGATTTTTTATTTTTTATTTTCACAATTATACTTTTCTAATGGAAAAAGTTATCTCTGAAAATTTAAATAAAATCATCAAATCATTAATAATTAGGAAGCCCAAAAACGAGAAATAACAACGAAAACAAAAATAGCACAAGGCATCCCATTAAAACCCGGATCAAACACCCTCACCACCAAGTCACCAACACTCAATCACCACACCCCCCATGCAAAACAAATGCCGGCCCCAACGCTCCCTCATTTTCCCTCCCTTAATTATAACCACACTCTCTCTTTCACT